GTCGAAGTTTTCGGCAAACTAAACACAAATATTATTGGTAAATAGCTCTTAACTTGCAAACCCCAAACGAACAGTCTACACACATTTTGTCATTCCAGATGCGTATCTTTCAATAAGATACTTTAGAATGACTGTGTTACATATTATTTTAGAAGGGGTGTAAATCAGATATGGCCTCAAAGCCTCAAATAATTTTTAGGAATCACAAATCTTTAAAAATTCTAACAGATGGAACCTTGAAACTTTAATAATTTGTAAACAAATGAGATTAGCACAGTTTTTGATTACTATATTTAACTGGGTCCAGTTTTGATTGTGATTTATAAGAGCGGTTTTATCATCCACAAAGATATGGTAAGGTATAATTTAGTAAACATGTTTTATGATATTGTATTCATGCATCTTTTTGACATGTTTGCAATTTCTTATTTAATCCAAAATCAATCATAATCTGAAATTTATAAAATTGAATAAGATATCTCAAGCTATGACTACTTTTACTTCTTAAATGATATATTTCAGAAAACCTGCAACACATTGCTTTCTAGTTTGTATCATCATTTCAGCTCTAGAAAAAAGTTATTTTAGCTTCTAATTACATATAGTGACGAAGTATTAAGTAAATAAACTATAACCATGACATAATAATAGAAAGAGAAGTCCAAACTTATGTACTAAACACTTGATCTTGCTAAGAGGTTTCAGATGTAAATACGTTTTTGAAAGTACTTCCTTATATGAAAAGTACTTGAATAAAAGAACAACTCTTTAAACGAACAAGAACCCTAAAAATATGAAGAATTTCTTTTTAACTCCATTTCACAATCCTTGTCTCAGAAACTTAGCACAACGCTGTATGAAACATATGGAGATAGCGAACATAATTCAAGATCAAAAGTCCACAAAATAATACAAAATATGAGCAAAGCAAACTCAGACCTCCAAAGATGGTGGGATCAGAAGCCATAGTTGAGTGAGCATTCCCTGCCGATCGGCCACACCCGCAGTGTGCTCCTTGTCATGATCGGAAAATAACGGGAAAAATCGTCGTGAATTCAGTATGAAAAACGTCAGTCAGCTTTTCACTCAACGCATGATAAATCATATTTGTTGACAAGGTCATTGTATTGACCGCAGAACTTACGAAATGATGACTTTAAACAGGTCGAGGAAACTATTTTCTGTGACGTCGGAATAAATTTACATGTTAAGTGAGGAACCAACGTGACTGACTAATCAACCAATCAGCTCAATGAGTTGCATCATGGGTTACTACAAAAATACTACATGTGTGTTTCGAAAAGCCATTTTTTTTTAAAATCGCTCTCGGAAAGACGTGATGCATTTTTCCAAGCATTTTACACGCTTAATATAATGTGTACATTATTATCTACTAATCCCATGCTCACATTTACATACAAATGAATAACAATGAAAAAAATTATGGTATTCCCCTACATTGTACCAGTCCGTTTGTTTACAGCTTTCCCCATGCTGTACTATCAATGAAAAGTCAATTTCACGTGGCTATTCATCGGTAAAAAAAAAAACAAAAACTAACTCTGAGGTGTGCTCACGTATTGACAATGTTTACAATGTTTACAACGTATATACAACTTCGAAACATACATTATGCTACTCAATACACGTTCTATGATCAATGCACATGAGTATTAATATAGAAGTAACACTCAAGTCCTTTTTGTAAATGCATGAACTTTAAGTCATCACGTTTACTGTAAATTCCTAATTATTCACGTGGAATTTATCATCGCGTAATTTCGCGAGAAGCACCACACGCGAAATAAAATAATTCACCTTTATTTTTATGGTGCTGAAATTTCTGAAAAATCGGTTAATAAATGGTCCAATTGCGAATTATTATTATCGCAATTTCCCGTTGAAGAGCCCATGTGCGAAAAATAAGGAATCTACAGTATCACAAAACTTCGTTGTTAGATTACCATTAACGTTTTTTTTTCAAGTAAAATATCCAAATATGAAACAGATGTGTCAGACTTAATTTGTGGTATTTTTTTTATTTCAAGCTCACCAGGTTATATCTTATCGACATAATAATAAAAAAAGTGCACGTGCACATGGCCTATCACATTTACAAACTTCCATAAATACATCTGTATTTCAATATTAGTTTTTCTAGTAAACTTAGCTTCGAACAAAAAAAAAGTTTGACAAGCACTTGGCAAAACCACATAAATATCTCAAACAAAACCTATTATGTAAGCTCTGAAAAAATACAGATTTGTCTTCTTGAATCAACTTAAATCATAAAAATATTGTAATTGTTAATTATGTTCTTTTGATATCACATACATGTGTATAGAGAATATAACATGCTAAAACCCCTTCTTATAACATACTCTAGTATTAGCTCTTGTCCAATATTAGCACGATTACAAATAATGATTTGATTTGGTTAAAGTAATAAACGCATAAAAGAAGAAGGCTGGTTGTGAATTACAGTATAAAGGAGAGATATCTAGTACAAGTGTTTGGCTCATCATGGGTTTTATAGTTCGAATGGGAGCATAAGTTTACGAGAAAGTCTATATGATATATAAATGTAACAAGATATCGAAATAAATATCGAAGTTTGTAAATACGTACGAGGAAGTTTATATTATTCTCGGTACTCAATAAACATGACAGTTGGTGAAATACCAAGACTGGGTCTCTACTTAAACACCTCTACTCCTTTAGTGATTTCAGAGAGTTAAGTTTCGAAGCATAAGTACTTGAGTATTTAAAAAAAGGTTTATTATAAGAAGTTCTTTTTGACATGTTTCGAATTTCCGTAGAAACATCCTTATATCTATGAACATGAAGCCCTTAAACAAAGTTTCGTTTTCAGGTACTTGAACATATAATGTCACATGATTATTGGTTTGGTTTCTTTGTATAAATTCGATTTGTGATAACAATTTTATTCAGACACGGTGAAGTTGTTCTTAAAGAAGTTTACAAAAGAGATGGGGACTGTTAGACTTATTTGTCTACTTTTCTCTATTTTTGAGACCTTTGGTCAGCTGAATTCAAAAGAAAATGATGCCTTGCAAGCAAATAATCTATTGGCGAGTACCACGTCTGGTAAAGTATCAAATGTTTTGAGAGACATATTAAATCAGGAGAGCTTAGTTCGGTTTTCAATGGTACAGAAAATCCAGAGTTTGGTGATGGATGTAGCAGATAGCAAAAATGATAATGAATATATGAAAAAGAAACTGAATGATGTAACGGAAAAGTTACAAGCCCTGGACGTGAAGAATCGTCAAATGGAGGATGAGAACGAAAGTCTGCGTCAGGAACTGAAGATTCTTAGTGATCATTATAACCATACGATAGAATCATTACAAACCCTACACGATAAGGAATTTCTTTTTCTCAAAAACGAAACTTCACGTCTCCAGAACGAAAATGACGGAACAACTTTAGATGCCATAGAAATCAAAAAAGAGCTCGGAGAGTTTAACAAAGCATTCGATTATTTAAATTTGTCAAAGGGAGAAATTAAAAAAGAGTTTCATCAGAATATTCAGGGCCTGCAGATGGAGGTCGAAGAAAACAGAAACAGTAACCAAGCACAGAAGTTAAGGCTAAGTGATGTACAAACTCTCTTAACAGAATATATTCAAAACGTTAATGAATCTAGGACTGCTTTCCAAAAGCAAATAGAAGTAATGGACAAACGGATGGAGAACTTAGAGAGGCACGGTACCTTAAATGCACGTGTACAGGTTGTTGAAGACAGTTTACAAAAATTTTCACTTTCACTGGATGACATCCGTGCAGATCAAAAGGTATACATGAACAACAAACACTTGCGGAGAATTGTAACTGGTAAGTGTTTCGTATATAACAATTTAAGACACAATGTATAAATGTAGGAAATATAGTTCCTAGTGTCTTTTTTCGTATTGTTCATCCGCACATGAAAAAGGTTCAGGTTCTGCACTTGACGACTTCTGTGAAGTCATTCAATTCAGTAATTCAGGGAATAAGGAAATTTTGTATATAATAATTTTTATCATTAATTTAAATATTGAATATCATTACCGTAATTAACCCTAGCTGAACGAAACCAGAAATCAAATTCAACTTGTGATATTTATTATGTTCTTCACCAATACCCCCCTCCTCGAAATTTAAAGAATGCTGTATCATTTTCAACTCTTATTTTGACTATTTCTTCAGAGAGCCTTACCTCTTGATGAAATAAACTGTACATGTATAATAATCATTTAAGGACATCACAGAGAATGATATGAACTATCCGTATCAAAGAATGGCACTGTGATGGCACAAAAATCGACTGTGATGAAAACAGCCGAATCTATTATTTACTCAGATATCTATTATATAAGTAGGTGTTCTCTTCGAGGTCGGTTAGAATAGGGTTCTGCTCAGCCGTAAACATATATAGCGACTATACTTTCGCCAAGTGCTTGTCACTAAAAGTGAGAATCATGGGTCAAATGAGAATTTTAAAACCGAGGTCTGTCAACTGTGTCACGATAGGCGTTGGTACGCGATAAGCAATGACTGTAAGTTCTAAATAAATGAAATTTGAAGCCCTTCATTGAAGATAAAAGAATAAAAGAAATTTGAAGCCCTTCATTGGTTTCTATACAAGGGTAGAATTTTCAAATTGGACGAAAAACAACAAAAAATTAATTAAATATCATATACTTACAGGTTCCTCGAAAGACTGCAAGGAATTATATGAAATGGGCAACAGAACGTCAGCTATTTATAATATTTATCCCTGGGACAGGTATAATCCCAAGAAGAATCCAGTACAAGTCCAGTGTGATATGTCAACGGCCGGAGGGGGTTGGACTGTAAGTGTAGTTAATCTTGTAGAATCCGAAAATTACTGGTTCCATAAAATATTGGCCCTGTTAGACAATAATCCGAAAGACAAGTTATAAGAAACCTTTTTTACGAAAAGGTGCGAAAGTTTACAAATAGCAAGATTTCAGAATACACAACAGCCGGATTCGACAAGTTGCAATGTAAATACAGTACTTTTATTTTCTGAATTTTCTTTAGAGGAAATATTGTGGATTTTCAGCATGGGTGGTAGCTTGATAAAAAAAAATTATCTTGATTTACTACCAAACTCCCTCGCGGATAGTTAGTGTTATTCATTATAAAAATGCAAATTCAATTATTTCTATATGTTAAGATATATGAATGGTGGATAAAATACGTTTAAAAACAAATTTAAAGTTTTTTTTTTAAATATGAAATGCAGGTAATACAGAATAGAGTGGATGGCAAGGTAAATTTCAGCAGAAGCTGGGAAGAATATAAGTTTGGATTTGGAGATCGAACAACGAGCTACTGGATAGGTAATATACTAGATAGGTTATATACCTTCTAAGCTAATCTTACTCGTGACATTAATATGTAAATAAATATCGTCTCCTCACCACATTCCCAACATATTTAGATTTCCTTTTGGTTTTAGATTAATTCAATAACTTTAATATTTTTGAAAAAAATAAAACCTAAAATGCTTCTTTCTTTAAATAGTTACATTTGCAAATGTTTTCCTGTATATAACAGTACTGAAAGCAATGCGTTAAAAGTCACAATCAGGCAAATATAAAGTATGAATAAGTCACAAATGTAAATATAAGTAATAAGGAATCATTTTAAAACATCTATCGGGCTATAAATACGGGTTGGTACGAGATTAAATTCGGGATTTATGGAATTTAATCTCGTGACCAACCCGTATTTATATCCCGATAGATGTTTAAAAATGATACCTTATTTCTTAAATAAATTAAATGTTGTCTAAGGGAATGACGTCATACATGACCTGACAAAGAAGAATGACAGTTCGCTGTATGTGAGCATTACAGGCAAGGACGGTACCACCCACTATATACAGTACGACACGTTCTCTATAGCCGGAGAAGATGATGATTACAGGTTGTTCATTGACGGAAAAGCGACTGGGACATTAGGTATATAGAGGCATGCTTTTTTTTAAATGAAAAAAATAAATTCTGGAGAATTGCTCTTATATCTTATTATCTTATAACAATAATACATGTAATACATACAATAATACTTGTAATACATACAATTTTAATTATGATAAAGATTTCAACATGCATGTTCTTAATTTTCCCAATTTAAAGAACACTTAATTGACAATATCCTTTCCATTAGGCATTAGAACAATAAGAAATCAATTAATGCAGTTACAAAGTTTTATTTCCAAAAATATGAAATGAGTCAAGTGTCAAACACAAAAGAGATGCACATCTTTACAAATGAATGTTTTGAAAGCGGTCTTAATACACATGGTACAAGACGTAATTTTCATACAGATCTTAAAGTCTGTAGTAATACAAAATTGTTTGACACATACATTTTATCAAAATAACTTCTTTATTTAACAGATGATAGGATAAGAATCGGTACAGATGGAGACAACATAAACGGGATGAAGTTTTCTACGTATGACAAAGACAATGACCTCTCATCAAATCATTGCACAGATCTCATGGGTGTAGGAGGATGGTGGTTCAACAGGTGTAATGACGCCTACCTTAACGGCCAGTATCCACCTGGAACGTGGCGTGATGTTTGGCATGGTACATTTGCATATGGATCAGAGATTTCCAGTACGATGATGATGATTAAGAGAAAATGATTAAAAGACAATCATCGAATTCAAAGTTTGCAGAATTGTTGAAAAAAAAATTTCATGTCTTCTTTTATGGAATTATGTAAAAAAAAAAAGTGTAACAATTTAATGCTTGTTGATTGATTGTATATTGTTTAACGCCGAGTTGGCAATATTTCAGCCATATTTCGGTTGACACAATTTAATGTATAAATATTTCTTATTTCAATAGTGCGATCTACCTATCTCAATTAAAATTATCATTTTAGTGGCTTTTGTTCATTTAAGTGATATGTTGTTGTGATTATCAGATGCTTTTGTTTAATGTTTGAAATATAATTTTGAATAGCTATACGAATTGCAAAGGTTTAGAAAACTTTCATGAATGCAAGAAACATGATTCAGTTTCTCTAGAATTTGATCTAGTATTATTGTAGTACGTTATCAACGGAGGGGAACAAAAATAATCATTGCCGATAAAAGAAAATAAAAAAAAATCCACATATTCCATTTTTACAAACATGTAGTAAATCGTACTGCGAGAAGTCATCAGTGGCAATAACAATTATCAATCCCAGTTACAATTATAATGTATATAAATTATTCACATATCCTTGATTCACGCTCGGGTGGGACTTTCTACGTTAGTGTTTGTAAGCTGCTGTAGAATTTTCAGTGACCAAACTAAATAAAAAATAAAAAAAACGAAATTAATAAATAAATAAAAACGAAAATACAAAATATAAAACGAAATATTGAATAAAAAAGAAAATACAAAGTAAAAAAAAAGCAAAATTATTAAATGAAAACGAAAATACAAAATAAAAAACGAAATTATTAAATAAAAACAAAATTATTAAATGAAAAGAAATAATCCCTTTTTAGCTCACCTGAGCCGAAGGCTCAAGTTAGCTTTTCTGATCAAAATTTGTCCGTCGTCTGTCTTTGTCGTCGTTGTTGTCGTTGTTGGCGTTATCGTAAACTTTTCACATTTTCGAATTCTTCTCAAGAACCACTGGGCCAATTTCATCCAAACTTGCCACAAAGCATCCTTTGATGAAGGGGATTCAAGATTGTTCAAATGAAGGGCCACGCCCTCATTCAAGGGGAGATAATTGGGAATTAATGAAAATTTGGTGGTATGTTTTAAAAATCTTCTTCTCAAGAACCACTTTGCCAGGAAAGATGAAACTTACGGGGAAACATCCTCAGGTAATGTAAATTCAAGTTTCTTAAAATCAAGACCCCCGGGGGTAGGGCGGGGCCACAATGGCCGACCAAAGTTTTACATAGGAATATATAGAAAAATACATTAAAAATCTTCTTCTCAAGAATTACAAAGCCATAATTGATCATATTTATATGGAAGCATCCTTAGGTAGTGTAGATTTAAGTTTGTTCAAATCATGACCCCCGGGGGTAGGGTGGGGGCCAAAATGGCCGATCAAATTTTTACAGAGAAATATATAGAATTTTTTTAAAAAAAAATATTTTTTCTCAAGAAATGCAAAGCTATGATTGTTCATATTTATATGGAAGCATCCTCAGGTTGTGTAGATTAATGTGTGTTCAAATCATGACCCCCAGGGGTAGGTCGGGGGGATATGGCCAATCAAAATTTTACTTAGGAATATATAGGAAAATTCTTTAAAAATCTTCTTCTCAAGAATAGCAAAGTCATAATTGATCATGGGACTACTTTTGGATTTAAACTTTCCAATAATAAACCAATTTCTACTTTTTCCTAGCAACAGTGCTCAGGTTAGCGATGTGGCCTATGGGCCTTTCGTATTTAAGTATTTTTTACAGGACAGTCTACCCATGCCTTTATATTATATTAACAAGTTTCAAGTTGTTATGCTATATAGTCATACATGTTAGACTAAAATAGCTAGAGGTACTGTAAGCAATGAGCTTACTAAATGATACCCCGCCTCCCATATGAATATAATGTCAATGTTCATGTTTTGCAATGGGAAACCCGAAATTTGTGTCGGATCAAAACATAAAACAGTAGGTGCACAATAACATAATGTAATGAAGATTCTCTGAAAGTCTCATCAAATTTCATTCAGTTTTATAAGAGAAGTTGCGGATTAGAGATGGGTACCCAAAAGCGTAACAGACGGACGTACAGCTAGACAGACGGTCGGACGAACATCCCGATTGCTATATACCCTCCCGCTTTTCAAGCGGGGGGTATAATAACAGCAAATATATTTATGTTGTCCAATGGTAATTTAACAAATTTTACAAGTTCACTGAAGCTAGTTTTTTTCCACACACCTATAACCTTATGTAGACTATCACATCCATATTATCATTTTGAAAATACGTAAATCTTATTAAACAAAAAGCTATGCCAATTCACATATTTTGATAAAATATTCCATATTTAACTCTCGAAAATTCATTGTTATGTAACATATTCAATATCGAAGATAAACATATGGATAATTTTTTAGGTTAACCTTTGTGATATTTACGAAATTTTATTTACAATATGTTTCATTTGAATTGTGTTAATTCACCAGTCACAAAAATATACCTAAAGTATAGCAG